CCCGGTGGGGTTTTAGCGGCCGCCACGGGAGGCACCCATGGCTGCAGCCGGAGCGCGGCCGGGGGTGTCCTGGGAACGCGGGGGTGTCTCGCTTGTCCTCCGCGGGAGCTGGGACAGGGCCTGGCGAATCGCGGCCTCGGGTTTGCGGTGTTGCTCCAAACTGCTTCTCTCCTGTGGAGTTATAAAGAGAAAAAAAGAGTGCGGAGGCTTTTCTTTGTACTGAGCTTATCAAATACATGCTGCTGAAGCAGCACAGCTGGTGGCAGTGTTAGACCTGCCATCAAGAGCTCCTAGGCATCTCCCTGCGAGTGCCTGTGCCTGGCAGGTGGCTTTGCTGAAAGGTTTGTAAGAGCTTTTCTGCAAGCACAGAGCTGACCTGAGGGCAAGAGGAGAATTTTGGATTTCATCTCTTGCCAGGGCAGTCAGCTCTCTGCGGGTTACCTGTGAACTGTTTTTTCAGCTGTTTTTTGAGCTGTTGCTAGGGTTCCTTGAATGTTGCTACTATAGTTAACCTCTTGAGGGGCAAGAAGGCTCTTGTGGGGGGTATTAATGTGTCATAAGAGCAGAGCCCTGCCTGAGATTTGTGGGAGAGCTGCTGGAGCAGGGCTGGCTCTAGGACATGCGCAGCTTCGTCCGCGTCCCTGTTCCCCGTCAGCACATGTGCTCCTGGCCACGGGGAGCTGCCTCTGTAGTGACCTCTGCTATGCAAACACTCCCTGTAGCGGTGCTCTGACAAGGGGCAGCCTTGATGCTTAAGCACAGGCTGTCATGGTATAGTAAACAGAGTTGCCACACATGGTTTTCATTGATTATTTTGTCTCTTTATACCTGGAAGTTTTGTCTAGACAGGGTTTGACTGTGTCCCCTGCCTTTCTGATGTCCTCAGGCCTAGAGAGCTCAGTTCATCTTCCAGGTATCCAAGTGTCCCTGAACAACTTCAGTGTACGCAGCTCAGGAAGCTGCCTTTAGGCCATGGCTGCCATGTGGTGCAAACAGACTGTAAACAACATTTTAAATTACAAAAATAGTTAACTGCAGACCGCTATGTGAAGTGTTGTCCGAATTGGCTTTAGCAGTATATCATGGGCTTGCTTGTTCCTGAACTGAGCTGCCGTTAATCAGTTTGCTTTCAAAATATCAACTCTGAACTCTTAAAGGATAAATATTTGCTGTAGCTGCTTTCTTTTATTACTGAAGAATTACCTGTGTACATAAATGCGTTGATCTAAGCTTTATAGATAAAAATGTAAATACTGATTTTTGTTTAATGTGCTTAATATCATAAGCTATTTCCAGAATAGTTCTAGTGAATTTATTACAACAAAATATCCAAGTTTAGTGGCAAAGCTGAGGTTAGGCAGGCAGAATTTATCCTTTTCGGGCCTTGATATTATCAGCTTAAAAAAATAGTGCACTTCTGGTTAAAACGATTGATACTTGGTTTGCACTCCAAAAGTTGTCATATATAAAACTGCTTTTGTGGGCAGTAACTGTGAGGTAAAAAAATCTGTATGTAATCTACATGAAGGAAACCCCTGGATAAACATACTACTATGGAAACTATACACACATGATGATTTTGTCAGCTATAAAGGAGAGGTGTGTCTTGTAATTTTGGAGAGTATTTATGGGAAGAGACTGTTCTAGCAGATAAAATGCCACACCTGAGGAAGTGCCAGATCTAAAGCTTTCTGGAAAAGGCAGTAGGGAGGAAATTAATTCAGGTTCCTTAAAGTCAATGCATGTTAGTAGGATTACAGAGTAGTTCTCCCTAGATTGGGAAGCCAACTTGGTGCTGTTCAGGTCCTCTGATGTTTCTGTAGCTCTAAGCATTTGCTGGGACAGGGACAGAGCGGGAGGTGCAAAGCTCAGTTACATTATGCCTTGAACTTCATGAAAATGTTCTCTTTGTCTTTGAGAAGCAAAACAACTCAAGTCAATTATGAAGAAATGATACTGGGATAGTTTCAGGTATTTTACGGGAATAAAATCCTGCTTAATTCAAACACAGATTCTGAGATTTTTCTGATTTGTTTAAAGGCCTGTTTTGAACTTCTGAAAGTTGATTTTCTGTCACACTGTTCTGTTCCCTGTTATGTTACACTGAACCAAGGCTTCATGTCACGTTTTGGGGACTCAAAGCAAGCAAAACTGCAGATACTGTAGTGCACGTGGACAGAAGCGGGTTGTTTGTTGTTGGGTACAGAGAACAAATACCAGATTTCTTCATGTTCTGCACTGTTTGTACGTCCTGAGCAACACCAGGCAAAACACGTGTGCCATCTCCAGCAACCTGCTGCTTTTGTATGCGGCCTGTTCTCAAGACATGAACTCTGTCTTGTGAATCATGTGCTGGTGCTCTTACCTTCATTTTCAGCGGAGCAAAGTGGTGAGTCCCAGGGTTTGGCCTGCGGGGTCCTGCTTAGAGCTGCACTTTGCCTTACAGCACAAAAGCTGCTGAAAACCAGGGAGAAACAGGGTTAAATATCCTTCCCTTTCACCTTGCGCAAATATGCGAGAGATACTTGGACAAAAATGCTATGTCAGAAGTGCTGTCATGGAGCAGGGCCAGGTGTTTGTTTTGTGTCCTCCCACAAAGTACAATCTACTTAAATATTTACACAATCTTGTACTAAAAGGCTTTCTTCCCCCCCCCCCCTTTTTTTTTTTGATTACTAGGCTTTTGTGGTTTGTTATTAAATTAGGAATGGGGGAGGGAGGGATTTGTAATTGTTAATTCTTCCATGTGGTTAAAAATTGCATCCCTTGTTTTATCTACTCTGAGAAATAGCGTAGTTAGGATTTCTAGTGGATTTAAGTTGTTCCACTGAGACTTGTGCTTTGTTGTATAAAAAAGTAGATATTTAATTTTAATGGATAATTATATACGTAATAAAATTAAGTTATGTAATATCCATAAACTGAAAAAATAGTTGAAGTATGGTAAGACAGGTTATTGGTTCTCTATGTACTTTATATATTTTACTATTGTATTAGAACACCTGAAAGTACAGTAAAATAGTAAACGTCAGGCAATATAGCCTTTGCATTAAAGTAGTAGAAGGCTAATATATATTGAAATACCATTTTGAAAGATTAATAATATTATAAACCAATAATAAAAATCAAGCAGTACGAAAAGTACGAAATAGCCTTCAGAAAGGCCACTAGGTTCCTCAGGGATTAACACACAGCTCTTCTGGCCACAGTCATACCCTGGGCATCTGTTGCATATGAACTATCACCTACTAGGTCACTGCATCTAAAATTGAATAAATATTCAAGACAAAATTTATAAATGTTGTTTTGAAGAATCAGCGATACTTGATGATATTCAACGTCTTGCATTACAAAGCTCTTATAAAGCAGAAAGAGAGGGAAATAAAGGCTTATGTGGATGGCCAGATTTACACCTAGGAATTTGTGGGTTTTTTTTTTTGTTTTTGTAAATCAGTGAGCAGATGGCTTCTAGGAGGGTAGGGTAAAGTATATTTGTTCTCTGTGAGACTGAGGCCTCGATCATCAATTGCCAGTTATCAGTCTGAGGCATTGCACTTCAATGTAAGATGAGTTTTACAAGGTATGGTTCCTACAGACACAATAAAGAGCTTCAAGACAGACTTGTAAGTAATTGTGTGTGAGTGTTTCTTTTGATAATGGACTGCAAGTATTTTGTTGTCTTTTCACAGCCTTAGCTTTGTCAGACAAAAGGTGATGTACAGAAATGAAGAACTGCTTCCAGGACTAAAGAGCCACCCTATTTGCTTATAGTGGGGACACAGAGAATATGTTTTAGTGCGTGCAGGTCCCAGCGCAGGCACGTGTGTGAGTGCATGCCTGACTTGACGTGGCTGGTAGGACCAAAGTCTGAAACACAGCTCAGTTCTGCTCAGCATCCCGAACTCTTTCCAGCCTGGGCGGTTGCTTTGACAACTACAAGTCCCAGGGAGCTTTGCCACCAGCAGGTTTGTGCAACCGGATCGGCATCCTGGCGGGGCCAATGGAAAGCAGAGATTCCCGGGAATTCATGTGTCAGCTCCCACTATTAAAAAGCACTGGGGAGAGCCACGGACCTGCGTGGCAGTAGCTCATTTCCCTCAGCTACTTGTGGAGCTGGCCAGCAGCTGCAAGTTCCTACTCGTGATTTACTCTGCAGCACCTCGGCTCCAGGAAAGCCGCCAGACTCATCCCCATGGACGCTGTGTTGAACTGCAGCCCAGGGGACTTGGAAGATTATTACCACTTGCTGGGATGTGATGAGCTGTCCACGGTAAGAGCCTCCTTGTGCTACTCCACAGGCAGGTCTAGCTGAAATGCATCCTTAACCTTCTTTATTGCTGCTTTTAGCATTTCCTTAATGCAAAGCTCAATATACAGATCATGTTAACATCCCAGAATAAAGCTTGTATGAGAAATGCTTTATAAAATTGACTTTTGTTATAGATGCAATTAAAATGATGGTTTATTCATTAGTTACATTTAACACGTGATATGGTTATGTATTATGAGCCAACTGCATACCTTTGAAAGCATAAAAAACGTTTCGGAATGTATTTGGTTTTAAAAGATGATAAAACTTATGTATGTGCAACTAGTGTGGTGAGTGTTTGTAGAAAAATGGTAATGCTACAGGGTAACTCATTTTTTTAAATAGATACGCATATTAATTTAAGTACTCATTGGTTGTGAGGAAAAACACAGAAATAAGAATCTCCTTACTTACTCATCCTAAGGACTTTACATTTTCAAATACTACCTTTACAGATTTGTTTGGGAGCAGATACGTGCTATTTCATATTTTATGATGAGACCTGTTTAAGCAACTGTTGAATATTCTGTAGCAAATACAGGCATATTCCTCCCAAAAATGTCTTTATAACATTTTTTTGGTTAGTCGGAGTTAGTGGTATACTAATATTTTTAATCCAGCTGCTCTGTTAAGTGGGATTGGTTTTGAATTTTATAAAGAGAGCTTAATTACCCTGCTATAATGAATGAGGTATTATGTGTGGAGAAGTCTTCTGCTCATGAAATCGTCAGGGGCTCTCACGAGTGCCAATGGTTACATGTGGGGAAGGCACCTCTGTCTTTTCCAGCGGCGCTGGGCGAGCATCGCGAAGCCGCGTGAAGCTTTTCCCGAGGACGCTCCTGGCACGAGGTCCCAGCAGAGGGCAGCGCTAGAGCTGTGGCTGTCACCTCTGCGGTAACGTTGTGCTTGTAATAAAGCTTGTAAAATGAACAAGCAAAAGCCTTTTTGTGCTTGCCATTGTGCCTCCAAACTCTTTTCAAAAAGGAAATTGAAAGATCATTTCTGTGTGTATGTATTTCCTCACTTTAAACCTTGATATTCTGTTTAGGTTGAACAAATTCTTGCAGAATTTAAGGTTAAGGCCCTTGAATGTCATCCTGACAAACATCTCGGAGACCCCAAAGCAGGTATGTGTTCTTCCCTGTTTAATCCCCTCTGCCATTAATATGACTAAGATATTAAATTCAGCCTATCAAACATGAAATTAAATATTATTTTCCCCATATATTCCTACTGTTGTCATGTGCACTGAGTATATTGCCTTCTAACAGCAATCTGTAATATTGCTACACTCCTGGGTGGTAGAGCAGGAAGGAGCATGCTTCTTCGATTACTTTTTTCCTTAGGAGTTTTCTTTTTTCTTTCTGCAGTAGAACATTTAATTCAGAAACTCTTTTATGGAGTATCTCCCTTTTTAGACATATGAGGTTGAGCTGCTTCTGTGCTTGGCAACAGTCAAATGCCATAATTACGTCAACTAGGTAATTGACGTCTGCGAACAAGCGCGTCAGGAACATATTAAATGTACTTTAGTTTCTTTTAATGTAATTTAATAACCGAAAATAAGGAGAAGCTAGCACCAGAGGAGCAGCCATGTGTCTGCAGAGCAGCAGTCAGCATCTGAGGTTATGAAAGCAGGCGGTTCACCAGACCCAAACCATGACTGCAACTGTTATTTGAAGACCATTTTACCCGTTTGTAACTAATCTGGACATCTGGTTACATACTGCTAAAATAGGGCTGTTCTGATCTATTTATGGCTGAAGTTTGCAGAAGTAGCTATTGAATATTGATTTCTATTTGAAATTCTAGTAATTACAGCAGAGAAGTAGAGACTAGGATTGATCCCATTGCATGTCCCCCTGCCTCCCATTAACTCAAACCAAGTAACACACAAAGAGAAGCCAAGTGCCAAATATTGGAGCAACTTTGTTAATATGTACTTCAAATGTCATTTCACAGTACTAAAATAAAAATTTACCCTTTTTAATTACTTCATCAGCCTAATAAAGCCTAATCAGCCTAATAAAAAATAATTAAAAAAGACTGTTTTTATTTGTTCAAAATGAGTCACAGTAGATAAATGCAACCTAATAGAAGCCCCCTTTTGCTTGGTGTTTGATTTATGGTTCTTGGTTTGGATTGGTGTTTGGGCTCAGTGTATTTTGGAATAAATCTACTTTGTGAACTGGAATAAATGAATAATAACGACATGTCACTATAACATGAGTGACTCAGATAAAATGTAGATCTTTATAGCCCTTGTTCAAATAGTAACCTGCAACTGCAGCCTTAGTAACCAGTTAATGAAAAAATCTTGCAAAGAGACAGAAGTGTTCTCATGCAACCCAGTATTCAAGATAATATTTTAGAATATATTGAAAAAGGTGCTAAATTAATTGCACAAGTTAGTTATTTTACACCTTATTTAGACTGCTGTGCTTGCTTGTAATTCTTCCTTCTCATTTTTCCCCCCCTGATACTTTCATGGTGTTATGTGCTGCCCCGACTTCCTTGCTGCTGTGCATATAAGTGCGTACCTTTTAGGCATGCTTTTTCTAGTTTAATTTCCATTTTAAAATGCTTTTTGCAGCCTTTAGCCTGCTTTCTGAATATGTTTCCCCAAGCTTAAAATTTGGAAAATTCCAAATCAGCCAACAAAATGAGCATCTTGGCACTCATTTGAGCCAGACATCAAATGTCAGCAGAAGGTGCTACTGCTCTCAAGGCATCTAAAACCCTGCGCGGCTGCAAGCAGATAAGCCACAGAGCTGCCACTCAGCTCGCTTCCTCTCTCCTCTATTCTCAGCAGCTGCTGGCAGCTCCCCTTGCGCATGCAAACTACTTCCATTAAAAACAAGCGTTGCCTTTAGCATCTTTTTGGTCTGCCTTCCAGTGGCAAGTTTTCAGAAGCTGCAGCAAGCCAAGGAGATCCTCGCTAATGAGGAGAGTCGAGCTCGCTATGATTACTGGCGGAGGAGCAAAATCACCATTCCCTTCCAGCAGTGGGAGGCCCTCAGCAATTCCATGAAGACGGTGGGTGTTTTTTAAGCTTGGACATTCTTTGATTCTTGTAGGAACTTTTTATCTGTTTTCAAAATTGGATTAAATCTAGCACCTTTATATAGCATATTCTCCTTTATTGATGCTAACTGATTAAATAATGAGCTATTTGAAAAATCTAGAAGCTGCTTTCTTGCAACTTTGAGCCTCACACAGATCTTCGGAAGGGCCCTATGAGGCTGGTAGGGTGATTTGTGACAGGGTGTTTTTGAGCACTGTTGTTGCCAAAATGAAGTCAGGCTTCAGTTCCTCAAAACTGTTAAGTTCTTGAGGTGCCACATTTAAATACTGTCATCTTCTATACTGTAATCTTCTAAGTCCCATAAACTCTTAAAAAGTTTTTGAAGTCATACCTGAAGAAATTGTAGACAAAAGACCCCTGAGTACTTTACAATTATTTGGTGCACTTCTGCATTTTGTTCTTCATCCCCAATAGAATTGTTTCTGTTTGTTATTTTTGCATTTACTTAGTCAATGCATTGGGCTGTCCAAGGAAAGAAGGACCAGATGCTGGAAGCTCCTGTGAATAACAGCAACAACATAACCAGTGAGATTTGGACCTCACAGATTGAAAACAGTGAGGATGGATTGTCAGATGGGATCAGGGAGCAAGGAGATGTCGCAATTCCTGATGCGAAACCTCTGTCCTCAAAGAATCCGGACTCCCCAAGTAAGTGAAACCAGCAGTTACAAAAGATTGCAGAATCCAAAAACTGCCCTAAAATGAGACTTTGTCATGAGAAATTCTTTTCCAGAATAATGCATTCAATTAGTAGCTTTTTTTTAAATGTGGCTTTGGGTTATTCTTTTTTTCCCATGTCACTTTTTTTGTATAATTTTGAATCTTTCAGGTCTTTTCTCTTCCACTTCTTTTTTTTTTGTTTTTTGTTTTTTTTTTTTTGTTTTACTAGCAAACAAGCACACAAACAGAAAAGGAGAGGATACCTTAAACCAAAAAGGAGAATTTAGTTTTCCATCTTAATCAAAAATAAAAATGTTACTCGAATATTTCCAGCAGTAGTATGCATATAACTGCTTGCCACGATTAAATAAAGCAGCTAGATGTTACATTCCTGTTTGTTTGATCCAGCACTCAAAACTCATGCATAGTTTATAACTGTTAAGCTGAAAAGGAGGATGAAAAAGGAGACTTGAATTCCTTTGTATTTGATCATAAGTTTTAAACATACTTATACATGTACAACATAAGTATATGTGTACACTACAATATCTCTTTCAGAAGCTGTCTGCTGGAGAGGCAGTTATTTTCTGTCTGTTTGGATTAATCTAGACTTGAATCGCAGTTTACTTCCAAAAGGCCGATCCTCTGTGTTCTATTTGATGCTTTGGTAGTTTCATAATCTTGGCTTTATGTTATCAAACTATTATTAAACGAAGTGTTGTAATTTCTTGTTTGATGAAACAAACAGGAAATTAAACTGTGAGGGAATAAAACCTAACTCTGTTCCTCTTACAGGTAGGAAATTCTGTCTTAGTATTTTCTGATCTGAGTATTCCTGACTGTAGTTAATTGTCTCACTTATTGACTAATCCATCTGAAATGTGGAAAACATTATTTCTTCCCTTTATGCTTCTGCCTTTCACATGCTTGGAGACTTATCATGTCACCTTCTTCAGGTTAAGCCATGCAATTCATTCCCTCTTCTTTATAAATCATATTTTCTAGGCTGCTCATCATTGTTGCTTTTGTCCTTTGGATTATGTCCAGGTGACAGGTATCTTGCTGCTTGGTGCTTGCTTGATGTGTTCGATGGTGCTGTGCCAGTCAAGAGCACTGGAAGTGGACAATTTAATTTTTTTTTGAAGATATGTTTATTTTTTTGCTACATAACTAACAATTCGTTGGTCTTCTCTTCTTTCCTCAGGATTTTCAGAGGGAAATTACTGGCACTTGCGTTTCCGCTGGTCAGGAGACGCTCCATCAGAGCTGCTGAGGAAGTTCAGAAACTATGAAATCTAAAACGCAACATTCCTGACAGTACATGATTCTGTTCAGCAGCTCACTATTTTTCTGTCAGTGGATACATGTTATTTGTATCTTAACTCATTCATTGCTTTGTGAATGTTACCCCATTCAAAGGTATCTTAATACTGATCTGTTAACCCACATCTATGAGCTTTGCAGATAGAGATCTTTTTGTTTAATCAGCAAGCAAGCAGAACCCTTTTCAGTATTAACGTGGTGTTGTGCATAGCTGTCTAATATTTCATGTACTGTTTCTTGTATTTTAAGGTAATGTAGCAAGTAATATTTTTGTCGCTACAGTGATACTATAAAAAACTCTCAGTAAAATCAAAAGTTACCGTTAGACTACAGGAACTCCCGATGTTAAGCCAAAAGATAAATAATGATGAACCTGAAGCAAAGCTAGGTTTACTTCTGTTGCATTGTACTTAACATAGTGATTTATATTGCAAGTTAATATTATTAATGCACTATTACAAGCTTAACTTGTCAGATAATTGTGATCTTACGGTGGAAATAAGAACACGCTTATCCCAGAAGACAGCTGTGATAGATCAAGCTCTCCTGGCAACTCAGTTGCATTCTATGTTAATAAGTAAGATTTTTGCAGCACCTGTTTGTTTTGGCAGGCAGTTCCAGGCCCCCTTTTCTCTGGTTAAAAGCTTGCTTCTCACCCATCTGGATGCCCCTTGTTTGTGTGCCAGTATTGGCCTGGGACTTAGAAGCAACTCCCCCCTGCTGTGGCTTCACAGCTAGTCTCATCAGGTTGTATGTGGTGGGGAATGAAGAACTGGGTCTGGTCAGTGTTAATGTGTATGAATCTAACATGAAACACTTACGTGTCAGACAACTTTTCACATTCTATGTTGTATTTATTTATTTTGTATTTCCTTTGTAAACAGTGTCAGTTACACTTTTTTGAGTAGCAAGTCTTTGTCAAAACAAATAAAACAGCATATGAACAGAAATGGTCTCTTCTCATGTATTGAAATGGCATCCTCCACCCACCATAGACCCCACAGACCGCCCCCCCCTTTATGGAGTCCTGCTATGAATCCTTAGCAGCCTCAGGGAATGTCTGATCTGAAAAACCAGTCTCCTTCCCATGTGGAGACAATATGCTGATCCAGCCCTGGGGTAGATGAACATGTGCTCACTACTCTTCTGCTGTACTTCTCTTTTGCACCTATTTGCTGTAAGTTAAACACAAGCACCTGCTGCTGCAATCAAAATAATATATATGTATATAAATTTATTTCACTAACCTTATTAGGGTACTTGACAGTTTTCTTTACAGGGCCTGGTGCCAATGTTAATTCTAGGTGTATTTGTACTGATCTGTTTATGGAAGATGAATTTTATTGCTGTTTTACCATTACAGCTACATTGATGTAGCTTTCCTGAGGTCAATAGTGATAGCTATTTCTATGGCCCATTCCTTATTTAAGGGATCTGATTTTTGTGGATTCTGAATGCTTTTCCTTTCCTTACTTTTCAGCTAAAAACATTAAGATTAATATTAACAATTCTCTGCTAATATCTGCTAGATGTGATTACATGTCTTCTAGTACCACTTTCCTTCATATATAGGATGTGTTCAGTAAATGTTTTTCTTTTTAAACCAGTTTAATCAAGGAAGGTCGAATAGTAACAGCAGAAGAATCGCTAGCTTTTGTGTGAAGGATACTGAGCAATAAAGTATATTTTTCTCTTTAAAAATGCTGCAAAAGCAAATGGTTGGAATATTGGATTAAATGGTATCTTAGACTCTTCCCTCCTCATTTCACTTGCTCCTGAAGGTAAAACGGGCCAGCTTGATGGATGATTTAGCACCTAACAGGGCAGGGGTGATTGGGCCCTACAGGACAGAGACAGGACTCCTTTGGCAAGGGGCTGTTCAGGTCTTTGAACAGCATCACTATTTCTCATGTCATTATAACATATCATTAATCAATGATTACATGGTCTATTCTGGCAAAATGGCATCACCTCTTCATTACAGATAAATATTTGTGTGTGTGCAAGAACCCTAGCCTAGGAAAAAACAGTAGCAACTTACTTTTTGTAGTGTCCCTGCTGAGAAGGGATACTTATTTTTATCATAGTAAAGGGGTCAGATTCAGTGCTATCAGTTGGTTCTCTAGTACACTAATGTATGCATTTCTTCTATTTACATATGCATATACATATGCATAGTTACATATATACACACTTACATATGTCTTCAGAAAGGGTCTACTTTTCTATGTTTCTCAAATGGGGATGCATACGAGCCCTGAGCAGCCCTGTGCATTACAGAATAGCGCCTGAGAATTTAGAGCAGCTGTAAGGACTTAGTCTGGCATGAAAATAAGCGGCTCTGAGGAGTGAGTCTGCACCTTCCAGGGTCTAGTCAAGGGTGTAGATTAAACCTGATCCTTTTGGGCTTGTGAGGGCTGATAAGACTTCATCTGACAGCCATGAGATAGCAGATGTAGGCGGCAAGAAAGTTGATGATAAGGATGATAAAATATGGAAAAGAGGCTAAAACTTCATTCTAGGTCTTTGAAATTGTATTGGCCAGTTTTGTGACATCCAGAGACTAGGTGCCTGCTTCTCCGGCAGCACACAGTGAAACCGAACAGCTGCGGGTGTCCTTGCATTATATAAAGTTCAATATCACTCTAGTATTAATTATTGCACTAATTCTGTATTTTAGGCAAAAGCTAAAAATTTAAGATTGAGAGTGTTCTCGGTCTTCCCAAACTTTTAGGTCCTCACAGCAGAGTTAAAATGATGATGATGAATAATCCTAAATCCCTAGTCTGAGTAATGGGGGATGACAGACAAGATTGTATCCTGACTGCTTGTGCTTTGTTTTTAAGAATAAAAGGTGTCTGCTATATGCTCTAGAATAGAAGCAAGTGTCCTGATGATCAGAATAGATTCTGAGTAGCTTTAATTTCCTGAGCACAGACATTGCCTCCTTCTGCTTTGCTATCTTGAAACAAGAGACAAGACTGCTGGGAAGGCAAGGAGAGAAGCAGTTATGAAGCCGGTGAAATTACACAGGAGAAGATAAAGCAGCTCCGTGAGCCAGCAGCCCCCGCTGCCACCAGGTGGGATGATATTTATCAGCCTGCTTTGGCTGGGTTTTATTGCTGTGGCTCAGTGTACGTGCCTGTCCGGCCGTTGCCAGTTTCCAGGCCTGTGTGTGCTGCCGCGCGCTTGCCTTTTGTGCCTTTGCTCTCACCTCCCTCCCACGTTAATGAAGCTCAGACTCTTCATCTGATCTTTTCCCCTCATCGCTGAAAGGCTCCTGCCTGAGTAGTCACTGTGGTGCACGATGGAGGGGCTGGGGAGTCACATACCTTGGGTTTGCCATGTACACCATTACCTGATACAGGTGATGCCCATCCCTACAAAATGGGACTTGCTGCCAGCGTGTGAAGGGTTTCCTGGGCAGCTCTGGGTGCGTTGCAAGCTCCGCGGCTGCTCCTGGGAGGCACACAAGGCCTCTTGGCACACAAGGCAGGCAGCTCTGTGCAGAGGCAGGGTTGGTCTTGCCCACCCATCCTTACGAAGCTGTGTTTCCTTGTCCCTTGCTCCTTCTCACCCTGACACCCTGACAGCCAGTGTGGGGAGAGGTAACCACACGCAACAGGTAGTGTGTTACCCGTTGCTGCAAAACGGAACTCAGACGCCCGGGGGAGAGGAGGGAGCCCAGGCAGAGCTTTGCGCTGGGGATGTGTGTGCAGCTTGGTCAGGCTGCATGGCAGGCCGTGCTTGCTTCGGTAATTAAAAAAACACCAGAAAAAAGCACAACTGAAATCAAAACCGTATGGTTCTTCCTGTGTACTGCCTCAGTGAGAACATTTTCATAAATCTTGTCCAAGTGGGAGGGTGGGAAGTAACTTGGGTGTTCACTGCTGCTCTTTTGCTTTTTCAGCTGCAAGTTTGAGGGAAAATAAGTAAGAAGGCAAAAAAGTTTCATTAAATGCAAATATTTTTGCTGCCTTTCTGAAAGTCTGATTTTTTTTTCATTTGCTATGTGAAATTTAAAACAAGTATGTGTTTTGCTGTTGGTTGTTTGAAGTTTCCATCCTCAGCAAATTCTCAATGGAAAGGATGTTTTGAAGATGAGAACTTCATAATAAATATTTATCATGTTCGTGCTTTGTCTTCTATTTTATCAAAGCAATGACACATGTATATGGAAATAAGACACTTACTTAAAGTAGTCAGCTTGTAAAAAAGAAAGTGACTTTCTCAGTGATGCAGTGGAGGACTGAAGCTTGTCCATAGTGTTTTGTATTTTTGCTCTTTCAAAACTGCCTTTTTATTAATTTGGAATGGTATCAAAAACACTGTATTACACAAAATGTTCTCATTTCTTCCAGATTACAATGCAGGATGGCGTTTTAAAGTCATATAACAACAACAACAAAAAAGTTTATATTCCTAACTGGTTAAACAAAGCCAACTTTTATGTGTGGAAAATAAGTTTCTATATATGTACATATAAATTATTACTGAAAATGTGCACGGTCACTGAAGAGCTTGGAGTCTTTCAGAGTTACTGCTGTCTTGTGCTGCTCTAAGCACACCATTTAAACTGTGCTGCACAGGTGAGCCGCAGCATGATTAAGGGGTATAAGAGTGCTGAAATTAAAAAAAAAAAAAAAAAAAACGAGTTTCTAATGCAAAGTTGATTTTTGTTAGGCATGAAATCTATTTCCAACCTCGATTCTGCGTTGATGCTGAGTTCATATACAACCTTTAATATTTTCGCAAGCAGCCTGGCAAAAACACAAGAAGCCGAACCTGAACTACCCAGGATGGGGAGCAGGTCTAAACATTTGACCTACTGCCAGCTTATCCTATAGTTTGTTCATCTGTTTATGTATTTTTATGCATTCTGAGAAAGGATCTTGCACTTGCAACATGCCATGAGAGGAAGGCATTTTTCTGGCTGGGAAAGGGCCCCACTGCCCCAGGCGCCGGCTCCTCTGGCT